CCGGCAGCCCAGCGTGTCCCGGCCGCGCCGAGCCAGCCCTTCGCTACGCTTGCTCTCGATTTCAAGACTCCCACACACGCCTCCGGGTGCTCGGCGGTCCCCGGGCGCCCCCAAACCGGCCCGATTGCCCCCAGAAAAACACCCACAGCTCTCCTTGAGGCCCCCAAAGACTCGTCTTCAGGGACCTGAATCCCTGCCTGACTAACCTCAAAGGCCCGAGAGTTGTCCCGGGGCCCCAAAACACCCCCAACGCTGCTTCCACCCCGCACCAGACCTTCCTCAACAGCTCTTGGCTCCTCTCGCACTGCCCCACGCCGTGCCTAAATGCCCCCAAACACCCCCCTCGCTATGCCAGCAGCCCAAAACAGCCAGAACCCTGCTCTGGGGTGCCCCCGTTTACCCCCACATCCCGCCTGAACATCCCCAGTTTTCTCCAATCCTGTCACAGCATGCTCCCTAAACCTGTTTCAAGGCCCCCAAATACCTCTGAATGCTCCTCAGAGAATGTGGCGCAGGCGTTACGAATCACTTTTTAAAACTAAAGAGAAAGGCAGAACAGGCAGGATGAAGCAAAGTTTCTACGTCTTCCTCCAGGCACGCTGTGTTACTCCCTCTTTCTCCAGGGCGATGCACTTGATTAAATCGCTCTCTTCTATTACAGAAACATGATGTAGCAAATTAAATAATGGCAGTACTTTCCATCATTTTTTAATAAAGCCTAGAGTTCCTGAAGTAGGATCACAGAGGGTGAACCTGAAGGAAATGTATCCAGGCAGAAAGTACTATAATAGATGTTTCAGCTAGTTAATATTTTTCCCACCACACTTCTGGGATCCTTTTCCACAAAACCTCCCAAAAAATCTAGTTTTATTCCCATTTTGTAGCACATGTGGTTCCGGGATGTATTTTCTTTCATCCTATACCACCACCTGGCTTAAGCCAAAATTATTAAAGGGGCTGCCTGCAAAGCAGGCACACACATGAACACGTGGCAGCTGTGAGTAGGGCCACTTGTTTTAAACGTAATAAAAATACCCTGGGGAGTTTTAAAGCACTGGTTGCTTTTGGTGTTTAAGACTGCAGAACATCAAGCAGAACTTGGACATGCTAGCTGCTGCTTTATGCTCCTCTGAAGAGCTGCAGCCTCACAGAACTCCAGAAAGCTAAATTACAGTTTGCTTTCATTGGTAGGCCATGGAGTCCTTGTGACAAACTTGATCCAAAGAGAGGTGTAGATGAAGGTGAGAAGTGGACAACAGGTCTTGAGGCTCTGGGGGTCGGAAGAAAGTAAGAATCTCAGAAATGCATAAAGCGCAAGCAGGTTTTCTGTAGCCCCAAAGCATAATTGCTTTCAACTTTCAACCTGTTACTGAGTCTCTTTGCTCAGGCCTAAAGGTGTTTGAACACAGTGGTCCCAAAAAGGGGCAATAACAGCTGACAGAATGGATACTCCAGCCATTGTCAGAATTAAGTTTTTTTCATGATGTGTTACTTCCACTGCCAGCTCCAATCACTGCAATATTTTTATATCTATATAGTTTATACAGAATTTGGATTTTTTTTCTACAGTATTTTCTTTCTTTTGAAGGAACAAAAAGTATCTTCTGCCTTAAAGTTTCCCGGGATATTTTTTTAACATTTTGATGACAAGTCTGCTTTTACTTACTTAAAAAGACAGCACCAATGTTAGTTTTTGTTTAGTTTTGGGGGCGTTACAGTGTAGACAACCTCCACCCTAACTCCAACCAGGGTGACCCAATCCTTTAGAGGCAGACTTACCTGCACTGGTGTGCAAATACCTGTGTGGAGGCAATGTGGACTTTCCTGGTATGTCCACTGCCCCCTGTGAGAGGTGCAGCTTGGGAGTACTGGATGCTGACAACTCATTCCATGGCAGCACAAAGGATCTCACCTGAGCCTCTCTAGAAGTCTCCAGTGAGGCGGCTGTACTCACAGGAGCATCCTTGGGGCTGCTTTTCTCCAGTACAGCCCCTGCCCCTTTTGCCTTCCTGGTACTTAGAGTCAAATCTGGCCAGTACAGGACAGGGTGGGCACCTGAAGACCTGCTTGGTCTTCAGACTTCAACATACCTCACCTCAGGCTTGTGGGAACTTGCCCTTCCTCTGACAGCCCCATGCATCTCCAGGGGAGGCTTCAGAAAGAAGCCTGGACAAGGATAAGACTGTCTTAGCTGGTGCAAGGCAGACTCTCTGACCAGGGCAACAGCAGATTTTGGAGACATTTGCTAGCAGTATTTCCTCACTCCTTTAACCTATCCTTCAAAATAGAGCCAACTGTAGTTTAACCTACAGCTAATTTCACACTGTCATCTCAAGGATCCGAGATACCACTTCACATAATCATTTTGAGCACAACTTAATGCACATCTGACAAATATGGAGACTTTTGGTTTGTGCTACACAGCAGATCTGGTGCAGCCTTGAATCTATAAAACACTTTTTTAAGTTTAACATAGTGAGAAAAGATCTTCTCTTAAACCACCCTTTATTAAAAAACATAAGCATTTGTAAATATATAAAATTATAAAGTACCAAGTGCTTCTTGCTGCCCAGTACAGTAGGACTCAGGAACGGCAGGTAACTTTGGTGTTAATCTGTCTGGTGTATTAGGTCCAGGGCTGCAGAACTGACTGGCTAGTTTTGCAAGTCAGCTAATCTCATTCCTCTGATAGGTCAAAATTGATCTTGTTTCACCTCAGTTTCAGACTTCCTTCCTGCTCCTTTTGACAAACATCAGTGCCTACTGGTGAGAGCAAGGCTGGAGCTGTAGGAACTAGCAGGCTCCCTAGAAGGTTGCAGCTAGGTCTTTTACAAAGGAGACATTTCCAGTTGCTAATGGGGAAGAGAATTCAGGCACTGAGAGAGCTCCTCTGTACAGTGTTCCTCAGGGAAAGTGCATCCTTTAAGATCATCCTGTAGATAGACTGGACAAAGCCAATCACAGTTCCAATTTGCATCAAGTTCCCTTAATCAGCAAGTACTCAGATCCCCTTGCAAGTCACATTGTATGAAGCATCATCAAGTCCCACCTATCTCATTTTTTTACCACTGAAATATTACACGGTAAGAAGGTCTCAGGCTGTACATCTAGACCTGAACATCAAAGCAGGACACTGGACTGCTGTGGATGTACCGTAAAATGAAAACTCCAGTTGTACCCATTACCATTGTTAGGGTAACTCAACTCCAGATGGGCTATTTTGTGTCACTACCCATATCTTCTGATGCTGAAGAACAGCTGTCAGTTGCAGAGAGAACTAGAAGATGCTTGTTGGTGTTGTTTCTTACTCGGTCTTCCCCCAAAAGCCCCTATCATCTGCAGAAGCTTATGGCAGGTCCCTGCATTCTCTAAGTGGTCAGCTTTGCTAGTTCTCCTGCTGGCTTCCACCACACCAGGCACTGCCATGTCATTCCCAAGAAAGTGAGCTGCGCTCTCAGTGTTCCCTTATAGGAGAGAATGACTTGGCCTGGGGACGGTACACTACCCTAATCTTGCACTAGCGGGTTCATCTTCTTGTGGAAAACTTAAACCACTGGAATTGCAGAAGTGCAGAAACAACAGAAGCCCAAGTAAAACAAGCTTATCCTCAATGTCTGAGCAGGGGACCAGAAGAGTGAGGAATGCTGCCATATTTAACTTCTGCTGCTTACTGCTATTTCCTTTTACAGGCAGCACTGCAGGCAGGGCTTTTCTTTTCCCGTTTGTAGAAGAGGGCAAAGCAGCTCATTGTAAGAGACCTGCACTACAGATCACATACCCACACTTCCCTGCTGCAATGGAAGGATAGTCTAGCTCCTACCACCCTTTAGCCAGGAGGCATAATTAGGTCGAACCTTAGAGTGGAAGAGTTGTTATGCTGTACAAGAACCACAGTCCTTAAACAGAAGTTTTCCACTAGGTTTGTGATAGGCATGGCTTCCACCCCTCTGAAAGCTTCATTCCTGATCCAAGTATATGAAAATGAAAAATGGCTGAAATATGATGCTTTTCTCCTCTGCAACATTTCTTTAGCTTGAATCAAGTCAGCTAAAAATCCCTGTTACCTGCATAGTTGTCCAGTCCCACTTTGACCTTCCTGGCAGCACAGCTTTTCTTACAGCCTGAACTCAATAAATACAAGATTGCGGTGTGCCCCAGTGACACTGCTCTGGCCCTTGCTTGCGGTGCAACAGGGCCCAGATATCCCAGTGTGCCAGCTGAGCATTTGCAGTCATGGTCCCTGCCCAGAGGCCCGAGTCCTTCCCTTACTGGGCCCTTGGCATCCCCTTTTTGGCCTGGTTAGGCTTCAGGAACATCTGCTGTTGCTGTATCTTCTGCCTTGACCAAATCACCACTGTTTGTCTCAGCATGGAGCCGCTTGTAGTCAGTGTGGAAGAAGATGACGTAGAAACAAGCCATAGCACTGCAGAGGCCAGCCAGCACCAGTACTGGAGCTGCAAGGAAGACACACTTTTAGACAGTGAATTCACAGCTCGCTGCAGGTGCTGAAGACTAGAGGCCAGCAACTGCACGGTCTGGGTGATCTCCTCCCAAGGGCTATTGAGGACAGCATGCAGCTCACAGTGGGGTAATCCCAGCTTGGTAACAGCCAAACCTTGTATACCGTAACACTGGCATAGGATGAGGATTTGGGTGAAATGTGGGAAGTTTCCAGGACTCTTGTCCTGGATGACCCCACAGGCTGGAGGGCTTACACCGGTGCACACAGTGTGTTTGTGGGAGTGTGTGTTTCTGTGTATGTTACATGTTTGTGTCTTGGGGGGTGGTGAAGAAAAGTTTTAAGAAAGACTGAATAAAAACACTTGAGCTTCATAAGGGAACAGGTCCACACAGGTAGCGCTTCTTGTTACACCATCCAAGAGCAAAGTGTAGGAAAGGCTCACTAAGGATAAACTTTAAGCTAAGAAAAATTTGTATTGAAAGAACCTTTTCTGAAGAAAAAAAAAAGAAGAAAATCTAAAGGGCTAGGCAACAAGGCTTGACGTAGTTACATTTTCATTTCAGCAGTTCCTTGAATAAACACCTCCATGCCTTTCTCCCTGCATGTATCAGACCACAAAATGAGTAGGAATGGGTATGTAATCACAAGATTCATCTCCAATCTGTTGTGATGGAGAGTTGCAGGCTTTCAGACATGAAGTAGTCAAACTGCTTTTTGGGGGGAGTTATTGAGAAGCCTTATTCCAGGCCGGCTAGTGGAGCTTGTTCCGGGGAGTTTCTGCTCAGCCAAGCAGGACACATTGAAAAGGTGTTTGCCAGCCTTTGTGTTACAGTGTGTCCCTGGGACTTGGTGTTAGTGTTACCTAAGTATGAACCAGCTGAGAGATCAAGACCAGAGTTTAGCCTGCAGTGAAAACACATTTGTGTTCCTGTTCATCTCCATTGCTGTCTCTTCTCCTGACCAGCTAGGAAAGGAAGGGAAATGTGAAGTCAGAACAAAGCTGTACCGGCATGTTACAAACCCAGGCAGCTGTGTGTGCAGAAGGAAGTGAAGTAGATTTCAGACAATTAATTTGTGGTCTTGGCCTCCCACACTGCAAAGCAGCACAGGCTGTGCCACGTGGACAGTGTGTTTCCCCCGGAACAGCTGCTTTCTAGCCTGGTGAAGCCCAGGTCTCTGCAGGGTGGCCGTAAGAGAAATTTTAACCCAGAGCCAGCAGCAGCATTCATGGTACCTTAGAGGTCTTCCCATTTCAATCTTGCAGGCCTGGTTTAGCAGGAGCAGCAAGGAGCACATCATCAGTTTGGGAAAGGTGGCTAAGAGAGAGGCTACACTAGGAATCAGTCTTGCGGGCTCCCTCACAGTGAGACCTGGAGGAGAGTGGGGGGTACATAGGGTGCGACTGAGTGTCCAGCATCATTTCCCAAGGACAATACTTACTTGTCCAGTCCAGGGCCCCACCCTGGTCAAGGGCACAAGTGGAGGATGGATCCTCAGAAACACGCACGGTGAGGGCTTGTAGCAGAATCATTAAAATCACACCATCAATCTGGCTGTGGGGAGAAGCCAACATGCAGTCATGGCACCTGCCCAATTCATCAGTGCTGCAGACAAGCCTGGCTTCCCCAGCAGGAAGAAAGTGAGACCCCTTTTTGGAGCAGGGCCCTTCTAGCAGACAAAGCTACTGCCAGCTTCCTCTGGCTCAGGCACTTGGTTAACTGCCCTTGGCTCACAGGGTGTCCAGGTCAGCCCTTCAGCACATCCTCAGACACGGGTCCGGTGTGGCAGGACCACCACATACTCCCTCCGGAGACAGGCAGGTGTTGAACTACAGCTGTCGGTCAAGGTGCTGAGCCTTAGTCACTGGGCAGAGACTTGGAAATACCTCTCACTGCAGGGCTGAGGATGGGAAAAAGTCAGGCTATGACTTCAGCCTCCTCCTCGTTCATAGCCAGCTGGCAGCAGCAACCAAGTCCACAACCAGTGGGAGACATCAGCCTTCAAAGGTGGTGTCTAATGCTCCTCTTTGACTGATGTTTCTTGCTGCAGCAGCTCCACCTGACACACATGGATGGCACCAGGCCACATATACCACCACGGGAAGGACTGTCACTGCCCCATCTGTTGTGACCAGCTGCCCTGTGAGTGATGAGCCCCACCTCCCTCAGCAGACCACTGAGACCTAACAAGTCCCTGCATTGCCGTGGGAACGGGTGCCCCTCTCAGCCCCCATCTGCTTCAAAGGTAGGTGATGCTGGGCATGATTAAATCCCACTTTGTGCCAAGCAAGGGAGACCTTCATCTTCCTTCTTGCTTTTCTTGCACCAATTCCACATACTCCTCTTTGCTTTAAAACCTTTAGCTCTTCAGTTCTATGGCTCAGCCAGCCAGCTCCCCCCTTGCCATGGTCATGTGCATGGACACCAGAAAGAAGTTCAGTAGGATGGCTACCACTGATGTCCACGCTCTTCTCTATCTACCCCTCTGTGTGTGTGTGGTTGAACCCAAGCTCAGCTGTCAATTGGATTTAACTTGTCTGCTTACCTTGCAACAAAGATCAGGCCTGTAGATGTGCCCTCTCCCACGGGGTAGGAGCACTCCACAGCCAGCTCCATGGCAATAGGGTAGATGGCAAAACCAAAGAAACCAAAGAGCGAGCTGGTGATGGCCAGCATGATGGCCTGATGCCTGAACCGAGAAGCCTGCAGGCAGAAAAGCAACACCAAAGTCTCAGTGTCAGCACTGCTGAGCAAAAAGTCTCCAAAACCATAGCCTGCAGGAAGTCCCAAGGGCCCACTGTTCTCATCAGTACCTTCCCTAACTGTTCCCAGAATGTCTTTTTTACCTTCAACCCTCTAGAGTCAACAAATGGGTACATGACTGAGATTTATCTGTTGAATTTAAGCAAGGGGAGAGAGGATCAGCAGAATTACCTGAAAAGCCTTGGTGTGGTCGTATTACTGTGACTTGACTTCCTGGTCAAGTAACTTACCAGGAGTGTGCTCAGCGCATCTCCAGCACCAAGTGAAATGCACATCTTCCTCCCAATGCAAGCTAACATTTCAGAAGTGGTGTTTGCATTCAATTATGTATGAGAATTCATGGGGTTGCTGCAGCTTATTGATAAGGATAACTATTCCTTAGTTGCTACAGCTCAGTGATAAGGAAAACTATTCATTATCATGGCAGGCTTGTGTTTGTAACATTGGGGTTTTACCACAAAAAAAAAAAACCAAACAAAAAACCAACAAACCACAAAACAAACAAAAAAATACCTGAAACATTCACAAACCCTGGAGACCAGTTTAGTGCCTAGAACAGCTTTGTCCCTAACTCTGGAGGAAAAAGCATGGCCTTATCCAGCCAATGCTAGTAAAGTCAAGGGCATAAATCCTGCAGCCATAGTGCTGGTACCTCCTTCCTTAACCATGCAATAAATTCCCACAGAGGAACATGAGGTCTCTGTCCTAGCATGGCTGCAGCAGGCCTGGCCCAGCTAAACTGGTAAAGTCAAGGAAAATTCTCTGTGTCTAGAATCTGAGTTCAAAGCATCAAGTCATCAAGCAGATTTGAATGGGTGTTCTTCATTTTACTGCTCTGAACCAGTGGTTCATCTGTATGGGATGAAGGGGATGAAGAAAAGGGGATGAGGGAAAGGTTTGCTTGTTGCTCCTGTCACAGCCTCTTGCCTACTCTGTGCTTCACCTGAGCCTGGGCATGCTGACTTATATGCAGAGCATGCCCCCAAGAAATGCCAGAGTACTAATAGGGGGAAATGCAAGGTCTATTTTAGGCACCTTGTCCTACACTGAGAAAGGCATTGCATTTGTCTGTCTCTTCAAAGCGGAGCTAACGTCACTGGGATCTTGGCCCAGGGGGAGGTATGATCACGCTGTATGGAAAGTCTGGATTTATCAACACATAGGAGAAATGCACAGGACAAGCCTGTTGGGAAAGCAGAGACCTGCACCAGTCTGGGTCCTCTGCAGTGCTAGGAGTCCTGTGCCTCATGTTGAGCTTCCTGCTGGGTGATGGCTCCCACTAGCAATGACTATGCTTGAGTATACTACTTGTGCTCCAGCCCCATGGCTGTAAAGTCTCCCAGATGCATTCAAGTGTCCCCCTTTTCTGCATCTTCCTTGTCTTGTCCTCCTCAAGGAATTACTGCAGAACTAGGCCACGTAACTAGATCCTTTCTACTGATCTTACACTCCTGGCAGGCACTGCTGTTAAAGGCAGCAGTTGGGAAAACTATGGCCTTTCCTTTCATTTTTGTAAGAAAGATGTATATTTAGCAATTCTGTTTCTTTTTGGAAAGAATGGTCTTGGGAGTAAGGAAGTAAAATTATTCCAATTTATTTACATCCTGAACCAGTCTCTCTCGGGCTCCACAGTGACTGTGAAATCCTCAGTAAAGGGTTTTTTTTTAAAACGTTCCTAGCACAGAGAGGTAATCCCAAAGCATAACATGTGTCTTAATAAATACTATGGCATCAAATGACCTTGGTTTGAGTTGATGATTTATCGGACGGCAACAGAACAGTTATGGTGCAATGCAAGGGAGAACTCACCACTGCGAACACAATGCTGGCAAGTGCACTCAGGCAGAAACAAATCTTGGTGGACTCTATGAATTTCCTTGTCCGGTCGACATACAGGCCTAGCAGAAAAGCACCCAACAAACCACACACTGTGAACAGTGCACCGTTCAGGCCAGCAAATTCCTGGAGGGCAGAAAGAAGAAGTAACTGAGCAACTAGAGCTGTTAGGAAAGAGGTTTTAATGTCACTGACCTATCTGCCTGCTGCTAGTGGGTCACCTACTGAGGCAGGAAAAGCTTCCCTGCCCGTTGCAATAGCTGAGGCCCTCCAGAGGGCTCTGAGTAACAAGTAACAGGGCCCAGGTGCTGCTACAAGCGTGTGGGAACCGCAGGGTCACAGCACTCCCATGGTCTCAATGGATGACAAGTCTCTTCATACCCGGCAAGGGAAGCTGGGTGCAGAGCAGCAGCAGCTCCCTGGCATTAAATGCTCCAGCAGGGCACGAGACTGTTCTTGGCTCCTGTAGGGGCAATCAGGTGCCTTGTCCACACTGGTGGCAACAGGTTCGACTGCCTTTGGATCTGGCTGTGTTTATAATCATGCTCCCAGCCCTTTTCTTACCAGGGATCAGGGACCTGCACTGGCAGAATGCCTTCCATGAGGCTGGCAGCCCCAAAGCATGCTAGATGAGACAGAGCAGCACGTGGCTGTAGTAAGGAAGTCTAATTAGAGAGGCGATGAGCAGTAGTTAGGATAGGGTACATGCTCTGTTGCCTGCAGTGACCATTTTTGCTTCTCCCACTTCTTCAGCTCCATAAGAATTCAAATGCAGACACCTATCCTGAAAGCAGGGAAGCTTTAGCAAATTTGGGTGAATATTTTTTGGGAGTCTCAAGGGCAGACTGGAAGGAAAGGGTATCTGGAATACGTTCCGTGTGCTAAAGGGCAAGGGCAAGGCAGTCACACACAGACAAAAGCATGATGGTGCACAGAAAGCAAGGCTGCGAAGTTTAAAGGGTTCTATTTAAAAGCCAATGGAGCATGCAAATGTGGCCTGGCTACAGAAGCAGAGGCAGGTATCAGACGTGGGAGTTGAGAGGGAATGGACAGAGACCAGACATGTAGATGTGCATACGTAACAGCTGGAGAGGTGTTTCAAGAGGACCTCCCTGGGGATAGAAGCAGCAGGACTGCAGTGCTACCTGCCTGCGGGGAAACGCAGGAACTGCTATTGCAGGGAGAGAGCAGGAGGAGCCAGCTGTGCACATGCTGTGCTCAACTCTAAAAGTAGCAGCTGGCCGGTGTCATGGGAAGGATGGAGAAAGAGCTGTCACAGTACCTGTGACTCCCTCTGCTGCCCTGACTTCTTGTAAGACTGCAAAGAGGAAAGGGTGCGTGCATCAGCCCGCTGTCAGCTTCACTCCAGGGCCTGCCTGTGCCCCATCCTACTCTGGGAAAGGTGTCAGAACGCTGCATAGACATCAGTGCTCTGGAGTGGCCCAGAAAAACACAATTCTCTTTTTCCTAAAAATTGTTTGAGGAATAAAGGTTTTTCATTTGTAAATAGGAGCCTGGCCATGGGCAGATCATCCATTATACATATTGACTATGCTCTGGATTAATGTACTGCTTAATCTATATTAAATTATGTGAGCAAATAAGATATGAGAAAGTGCAGCATATTCAACAGTCTTCATTTTGCTCTGAATCAGGGAAGATCATTTTGATTGCATCATAGATGATGTGGACAATGGGGAGGAAGAGAGGAACACTCACATTTGAATACCCCTTTTCACAAAGGATCTGTTCTAGCAGAGCTGAAAAGCAGGTGAACATCCCAATTCCTCCTCCAAAGCACACTGCCAGGATGACATACGACTTGTTTCTCAGGAGCTAGAGAAAGAAGTTAATGTATCATTTAAACAAGTAGAGGGGGGAAAAGGCCCGGCTGTGACAGTAGACTTGAGGGCCAGTGGCTGTGACCATTCAGTTGGAAATGTTGACAGGGCAACCCTCTGATCATTAGAGGAGTTTGGCTCTCTCCTGTCAGTTCAGCCAGAGGACAAGTTAAAATGGGGACCCATGTGCTGTCCTACCTGTTACCACATCTGCTTATGAGGCTCAGGTTGTGTGGTCCTCTTGGATGAGCCCAGATGTGCCTGTCTGAGCCAGCCAAATGGCAGCCAGCCCACAGCTGAATGGGGAGCTGTGAGCTGTGAGCAGCTTCCACTCCCTGAGGAAGGAAGGGATCCTGGCTCCCTTCAGGGAGCTTTCCATGACAGGTTTGGTGGAGTGGAGTTCAGAGTCAGCAGATTTGTCAGCAGATTCCCCAGCATATCCCTGTCTGGCAGGGCTGCATCCCTCACTCCAGCACCGGTCTTTCTCTGTGCTACAGCACTTACCATTTTGAGCCCCATGAGGAATGGCTGGGAGGTGGAGTTAGTGGCACTGGCTGAAGGAGGCGTTGGAGGAACCTTCTCCTGAATCCCCACAGTTGCTAGAGCACAGGCTGTTACTGCTGGGATGGCATAAACACCCAGCTACACAACACAAAGTAAAGACATGTTACCAGTCTTCCCAGCTCCATTGCCTCTAAATAAATAAATCAGCTGGACCCTAACCAGCCGAGCTGGCTGATTAAAGCAATTTTCATTTACCATCAATGGGATGTGCTTTCCTTCAGGAACTAGTGCAGGTGACAGCACATTTGCTATAAGAATACCCAAGGGATTGGCTGGAAAGAAAGAAAACAGAGAGACACTTTTTTCACGCAAGCAGTCAGAATCATGTGTCCACCCCTACTGCCAGTCAGCACCAGAGCTGCAGTGTGCAGCAAAGCAATGACTAAGGACCGAACAAGGCACGTATAGGGAGAAACCAGGAGGGGAACGTTTGGAGAAGTTGGCTCTGTGGTCTGACTGTTGCCACATTTGTTCTCTCACCCCCATAAAGTCCATTCTATGAACCTGTTTCCCTCCAACCCCGAACTCTTCTAAACTGGTTTTCATCTATGATTTACAGTGTCCTCACCCTCACAAGGCTGCCTGGGACAAAGCTGAAGGGACAAAATTAAGATGGACGAATCCATGCCCTCTGTCCTGATCAGCAGTAATAAATAGAGGTGCTTTCCCTTCTTTACTCCTCCTATGCCACTGCGCGTGTATACATATGGATAAGATCCCCCTGAGCCTTCTCGAGGTTGAACAGCCCCAGCTCTCTCAGCCTCAGCTGGCAGGACAGATGCTCCATTCCCTTAATTGTCTTAGTGGCTCTTAACTGGACTTACACTAATATGTACATGTCCTCCTTGTACTGAGGAGCTTAGAACTGGACACAGTTCTTCAGATGTGGACAGGGGACCTCCCTCAAGCTGCTGGCAAATGCTCTTCCCAATGGCCACCAGGATGCCATTGGTCTTCTTTGCAAAAGGGCATGAAAAGCAGGAAAGACCTATGCCAGCTCTCTAAAGTGACACTAAGTGATTCCTGACATCTTTGAAGTCAATACATTTCCTCAGTAAAGCCCAAGTTGATCTCTGTTACCAACTACAAAAATCACATGGCAGAAGAGAATCTTGGACACTTGTCTGTACCAGAGTAGGAGGCTGCATTGTTACGGGGCTGCAGCTGAGCAGCGTGTGAAGTGGCACTCCTGGCACTCAGCTTGGAAATGTCCAAAACTGCAGGAGACAATTCGTTAACTTTAAGGCGATGTTCTGCAGTCAAACAAGTGAAGTTGGTTCTCTACTAGTGGACAGGGAGGGAGTTAGGAAAGCCAAAGCCAACCTGGAATTGAGTCTGGTGAGAGATGTGAAGGGCAACAAGAGTGGCTTCTACAAGTACATTAGCAGCAAAAGGAAGGTTAGGGACAACATGGGCCTGCTTCTGGATGGGCAGGAGACTTGGTGACAGAGGACATGGAAAAGGCCAAGGTACTCAATGCCTTCTTCATCTCAGTTTTACTGGTAAGACTGGCCTTCAGTCCTGAGACCAGAGGTAAAGTCTGGAGCAAGGAAGATTTACCCTCAGTGGAGGAGGACTAGGTTAGGGAACTTTAGACTAGACAAACACGAGTCCATGGGACTGATGGGATGCACCAATGAGTGCTGAGGGAGCAGGCTGTTTTCATTGCAAGGCCACTCTTGATTATCTTTAAAAGGCTATAGCAACTCCAAAAGGTTCCTGAGGACTTCAAGAAGGGCAAGAAGGAGAATCCAGGGAACTCCAGACCTTTCAGTCTCACTTTGATCCCTGGGAAGGTCATGGAACAACTAATCCTGGTCACCATTTCCAGGCACACGAAGGGCAACAAGGTGAACAGGAGTAGTCGGCAAAGGAGAAATGCTTAACCAACCTAATAGTTTTGTACAGTGAGATGACTGTCTGGGTGGGTGAAGGGAGAGCAGTGGATGTCTTTTATCTCAACTTTGCTAAGGCTGTTGACACTGTCTCCCATGACACCCTCACAGACCAGCTCACGAAGTACTGCCTAGATAAGCAGACAGTGAGGTGAACTGGAAGTCAACTGAACACCTGGGCCCAGAGAATTACTATCACTGGCACAAAGTCCAGCTGGAGGCCAGTCACTAATGGTGCACCTCAGGGGTTGATACCGGGGCCAGTACAGTTTAACCTTAATGAAAAAAATGGACGATAGGGCAGAGTGCACCCATAACCAGTTTGCAGATGATGCGACACTGGGAGGAGTGGCTGACAGAAGAGATGGCTACACTGCCATTCAGAGGAACCTCAACAGGCTGGAGAAATGGGCAAAGGGAAACCTTGTGAAGTTCAACAAGAGGAAATGTAAAGTCCTGCACCTGGGGAGGAATAACCCAACCCACCAGTACACACTGAGGCTGACCAACAGGAAAGCAGCTCTGCAGAGAATGACTTGATGTGGGAGGTGGGGGGCGGTGATCCTTCTCCTCTATTCAGTCCTGGTGAGAAACATCTGAAGTGCTGAGTCCAGTGCTGGGCTCCTCACCACAAGAAAGATACACAATTAATGGAGCAAGTCCAGTCAAGGGCCAAAAGACATGGTTAAGGGACTAGAGCATCTCATACACAAACTGGCTGGGAGAGCTGGGACTGTTCAGCCTGGAGAAACGAGCCATGATTAGAGGTTGTAAAGAAGAGGGAACCGGACTGCTCTCAGTGGTGCCCAGTGGCAGGGTGAGAGGCAATGGGCAAAAACTGTAACACAGTAAACTGTCTGAATATAAACTTCTTTATCGTGACAGTGGTTGAACACTGAAACAAGTTGCTCAGGTGAGTTGCAACATCTCCATCCTCAGAGACAGTCAAAACCTGACTGGACACAGCCCTGGCCAACCTGTTCTAGCCAACCCTGCTTGAGCAGGGGGTTGGACGAGGTGATCCCCAGAGATGCCTTTCAACCTCGTCTGTCCTGTGATTCTGCTGAGGCATCGTTAATAGTGCTATAGCACGCAACAACCACAGCATTTCTGCTCTGCACTTGGGAAATTATTAGCTTATGATCCTGGTGAAATGTTACCTGCTTCTAAATACAAGGACACAATTAAACAACAGTTTCCAAGGAGAAGGATTAAAGCTTCTTTGTTGGGGTAAAATGCATCTGGGCATTGTAGGGGACTGTCTGAAAACTACCATCAGGTGTTTCCATGAACTATCAGCATGCTGAAGCAGTTCCAGAAAGTATGGGAGAGGGGTGGAAGTGTGAGCATTGGGCTAAATTTGAACACACTAAATGAGACTATCTGAGTAACTGCAGAGTTTCAGCCGCCTTCTCTTCCTGGGAAAAGAAATTAAATGAGCCTGACTAGAAATGGAAAGGAGATCACTGGAGTTAATCAAGTGCAGAATTATGGTCCAGGGGTCCTGGTGGATTAGCTTGCAGTACTCTGCAATGGGGCTGTGTGTTTTGTGGCGAGCGATGCTGCTACACTAAAATTCTGCAGGATGCAGAAAATTACATGCTGGCAGACCACAGTAAATTATGAATTCCATGGATGAAGCAGAGGCTACTTCAGTGGAGACAAACCTTTTCTCTCCTCACACGGGAGAATTTCTCATGGTCTTCACAGGGGATCAGTTCTTGGCTCTGCACTGCTTCTCTGCGAGTAAGTCTCTAAAAGTGATGGGGAGGACTAAGATATGATGAATACTCAAGAGCACAGCTGCTGAGTCACAGTGATTTCAGCTGCTCAGCAGGATCCTGGACACAGGGTCCATTTTTGTCTGCACACAAGCACAGGGAAGCCTACCCAGAGGCACTGACAGGACCTGTGGGGATAGCGACAGGAGGCTGTCAGGCCAGTTTCTATGTGCAGCACTGACACCAACAGTACAGCAATGATGAGTGCTGGCATTAACAAGGAAACGAGTATTGATAAATTGGAGCAAACAGAGAAAAAACTCATGTGACCAGACATGGAGACATGTGGGAAGAGGCAAAGGGAAATGTGGCTGTAAAGTGACGAGGTTGGAGCCATTCAGTCTTTATAGACAAAGGAGAGAAGAGGAGACTCTGTCCATAACTACCTGACAAACAGGTGCAACAAGACTAAATAGCTGGGCGATAAGGAGCATCAAGATGAGAAGTAAAATGTAGACATTTTCCAGTGAGGTAATTAACCACTGGAATAAATGACTGGGGCTGTGGCTGATGCTCCTTCTAGGTAATATTTAAACTTCCATGAAATGAAATCCTGATTGTGTACAGCAGACAGTAATGGGTATAACCAGACATTATTAATGGAAGCCCTCTACACAGCAATATGCAGGTGTTGCAGCAGATGATAATTCAGTCCTCACACTGGTATCTCAAAATGCCACATACTGAACAGTTTCAAGTCTTGGGTTTCCACTGTTCCTTGCTCTTCAGTTTTATTCTTTCCCATTCCTAGATCCATTTGGTCCTGTAAGGACTGAGGACACTATGTGAAAGAAACGCTCTTTGGCTGCTGTGGCTGCTCTCTCACTTTAAAAAAGCAAGTTGTCTGCAGGCTGGGGTCCTTCAGGGCAGTGAAGGACCGAGTGCCCAGTGGTCATTGGTAGTACTTGTATTGCACCACACTGACAACAGACCTCCTTCCCCTGCAGGGAAGGTGAAGGTCTATCTCAACCCTGGGAAACAAGGTGAGCCATCAGGTCTACCCTATTCTAGGGAAGGTGGTGCAAAAACAATTCCTTTGTTCTGACACCATAAATTCGTTCTTGCTAAGCAACAGTGCCCATGCTCTGGGTTTGCAGCAGCACTGGGAAAGCTGTATAGGGGTGGTCCTACACTGCCCTTTTCCCCATGCCTACCTCTTCCCCACAACTCCATGGCAGTGGGAAGGGAAAGCAACTGTTGGCTGTTTTGAGGGAAGGGCAGGTGGGGCTCGCACACACAGGTGGGTACTGTGAGATTTCCCAACTGGAGCCAGTAAGGCAGCAGAGTTTCTGGGGCATCTCTCAAGTCCTCAGAGAAAGGAGGAAGAGATTTCTTCTGGTTGCTGGGGAAAATGTCACATGGAGGGAGGAAAAAGGTCTGCCAAGTGCAGTACCCTGTCTCTAAGCAGGGCCCAAAAGAGCCAAGAGAGGAATGAGATTAGAGCAAGTGTACCTGGTGCCTCATCTCTAGTTTCCCAGCTTCCAGGCACTTTGCAAGGCAGATGTGGTTTCTGTGTGGGTAGTCCTGCTGCATTTACCATCCCCAACATGTTTCTGTGGCCAGCTGAGCATACTTTATCTGTGTGTGCATACCTACCAATTGGGAATACATGCTCAGCCTTGCTACTGGACAAACTGGTGGGCAAAATTGCTGCAGCAGCCTCACCAATATATGGTTATGGAATTTGGCAGCTGTGGCCACTGGCATCACATGCAATTTGAGCACCTTCCTAACAAGCTGCAGAATCAAGGCCACTACGGACTTTACACTTAGTAATGCTGAGGGCTGTCCCCAACCTCTATGATATTTAGGCAAAGATGATCACCTCGTCATGGCAGAGAGAAAGAAGGCTGGGAGCCTGGGTGGCTTATTTTGAACTTTTCACGTGGCAAAGTGTGGCTAAGGCCCTCTTCTTGCTCCCCAGCATGGAAATGCCTGCCTGCCTTTGCGGGGCCTTGAAGACACTGGTTTATCACATATGGCTTATGAGACTCTTTGGTGGAGCTGTATTTGCAGGGCCAAATGGCTGTACAACAGAGGGTTTCTTCTGCCTGCTGCCTCTGAAAGGCAAACAAAAGGTAGCAAGTTCTGGGAGGCACGAATATTACTTTGCAGCTATCACTTACACATTGATGCGATCATATTTGCTGTCGCTCTCTGGTGGTCTGGGAACCACAGTGCTGCCAGTTTTGTCGGTGAAAAGATGATAAGGGGCTGTGCCAATGCACAGAGGCATTGCCCAATATACAGGTACCAGTAACTCTGGGAACCCAAGCTCAGGAGCTTCAGGACACTGAACATCCGGATGATGCTACCCGCCATGTTCAGCCATGCGCTCAGGATCACCTGCAGCAAGCAGAAACAGACAGGGGTTGTTGTCTGCTGAAGCCTGAAGGCCAGAACTTAGTGCAATAGAGTAGCATGAGCAGGGTCTCAGATGCACTGCAGGAGACCCTGGGTGCATCTGAGACCATCACTGCATGGAAGTTGCCTGCAGACCACTCCCACCCCTTTGGGCCACTGCAAGATGCTTCTGATCCAACAGCGAGTGAGTTACCTGTCTCCTTAGGGAGTAAGGTGGCTGTCCTGGCCCCACATGAGAACACCACCACAACGTAGCTTATGCAAGACAGCAGACACTGTCATGGAATGATGAGAAATCCAAAGTTCACCAATTACGTTCTCTTTGCAAGTTTGTGCCACCACTCATATTTTGCTGTGACAATCCAAAAATCATGGCAATGAGTCATCCGGCATACGGATCCTGCAAATGCTCTTCTTTACCACTACCACGCTAGTGTTTCAGTGCCACATTCCACTCTTGCTTCTGGGAAGACTGTGCAGGGATCCCAAGCTGGCTTAACACAGACCAAGCTCTGAGCTGACAGAGGTCCCTTGCTTGCACCCTGCCCTGCTGCTACTTAAACTGGCTCTGCAAACAACATGGCTGTGCTAACACTTTTCCATAGCAAACCCTACTCAATTACAGCAACCTCTTCACACAGTCAGCTCACAGCATCTGCCCTTGTCAGTTGGCTAAGACAACAAAAGCTGAAGCAGGAAAAGGCGAGTAGGGATGCAACATTATTCCAACTTTTCCCACTGCTCCCCGCCTCAGAGGTGATGTGACAGCTATTACTGAACTAGGACAGAGCTTTCAACATGTTCATCCCCCACAGCATTTGATAAGACTCCCATTCACAGCATGCATGTTAGTGTTTTGTGCAGCTACTGCTGACTCTAGGTGAAACGCCCTCAGGGAAACAGAACAGTTCAACTCACAGCACATCTGAGTCCCACGCTGTCGAGAACCCATGTTGCCACCAGACCAAATGGGATTGAGATGAGGAGGTACACTATTGAGAGCCAGTTGACCATCTCCAGGGAGATGTGGAAGTAGGCAGCTGTCTTGTCAGCCACAGGAGCAAACGTCAGCCACAGCTGCAGAGTAGAGAACAAAGATGGTAAGCATGAACACCTCCACCAGAACAGAAATTCAGCATCCCTTCAAACTGTCTGAGTTGTGAAGCGGCTCACTGTCTTAGTCTCTCCTTGAAATTAGGATGTTAAGGCTAATAATGAAAATTGAAACCCCCCGTGTCTGCAGTTACTCATGCTGGGACTATTTTACCACCGGTATCACCACTATCTTGGCCCAGAGCACCCCATCCATTTCACTACCTCATCCCCAGTCCCCTAGTTCCTGCTGCTGCGTAGTTTGTAGAGGTCAGTACTTTTTTCTGTCCCTTGGTGGAACATGTTGGCCCCTGATGCACTTACCTGATGTAAACAGGTAAGCAACCCTTCTACATTAGCATAAGCAAAGTGGGGCTGCCATCTCCTCTCTGCAACTAAGAGCCTCTTAAACTCAGCCTGGTATTTACGGTTGCACTGGTAACCCCTGGACGTGGCCTTGTAAGAACAACTTTGCCATGTGTCAGCCAAGAGAAACATTATTCCATGCTACCTACACACACTCAATGGTTAGGAAAGGGCCTAGAAATTTGCATTATTAAATACATCAGAACATGTAACAGGGAAACACAAGAGGTAATTTAACTTTTATCCTTCTTTTCCTTCCAGTGCCATATCTGAAAATATTTCCCTAAACTTTGTTTCAGGCACTGGTTTCATAAGGTCGCTGTCTGCTTCTGGTTTCTTCTGGGAATGACAAGGCCCGCTTTGATCCTCAAATCAGGTCCTGAGATCACGCCCACAAGAAAGAAGTGTGGGTACTCCCCAAATTTAAGGATGTTTCAGTGGAGTCTTTACTGTAAAGATGCCCTCTCCAGGACTTTTTGTTCAAAAAGACTGGTTGAACCTGAGAACAGGTTTCAGTAATGTGGGTGTAAGCTACTCTGCTGTTAGAAGATGATCTTGCAGCTGAATTCTCAAGATGATAAAGTCTGCAGAAATGTGGACAAAAGCTTCAGCTATAGCTTCCTGCAAAAGAACTCCAGCCACTGCCTCCTTCCACATGCCCCTCTCCGCCATCACAAGCTTCCTCTTCACAGCCTGCATCCTGCAGACAGCATCAGCTGCTGCATTAATGTGTAACTGAAAAAGGGCTGGGGTAACCTCGGAGGAAGGCATGTCCCTACACCCTGGTACTTGTTATTTCCAGTGTTCCTATTTACGTCTTACATGCTAGAGACCATAAAAACTACGACATCAAATGGAAGCAGAAGGGGAGATGGGCTTTTCTTCTTTCTTAGTCTTACTGTGTGAGAAAAGCCACATGCAAATCATTGTTTAGCTAGGCTTTTCTCCTAGTAGGGCTGAAGTGAGTGAACAGCAATAACAGAGGTGTTTTGAATGTATTATCAGTGTCCTAGCAAGGACTCCTGGCATCAGCTCTTTCCTTGTCTCTGGAAGAAGCCGACGTGCCAAATCTCCTGTGTTCAACACGAAGCTCACATTGCCATGCTGGGCTCAGACATGCCCGCGTGGGATCAGTCAAAGGTCTGGCAGGGGGTGGATTCAGTGTTTTCTCAGCTTCTACAATCAGGTGGATGAAGATGCCGGGTCCTGAAGGAAATTGTGCTCTTGTTAGACAACAAGGAGGGTACTCCGGGTCACCAGGAGACTTGGAACCCACTTCTAATAAAATGAGCTTTTTAAAAATTCCTTGAAATAATGTATTACAGTGGAATGATATTACAGTCTTCTCTCAGGAAGAAATCTCATCCACCTTTTTTTTCCAGAACTGATCTCCATCAGATTGGGATGGGAATTTAAATGTTTAATGCTAAGGTAACTGTTTAAATCTTACAAGCATCACTAAGGCATGAGCACTAGTTTGATTACAGGATAATAAACTGCTGCTAAACAAAACCCAGATGGTATTTCCAGCAACAACAGTTCTCAGTTCCTCACTGCCTTCCAGGTGGGGGTGGTGATGATGAAACACTGTACCAGGAAATAGCATAATTAAAGAGATGATAGGTTTTGTAAGGCAGCTTCAGGTACATTTTCGCGCCTCCTGTTCCTCCACACAAGACACTCACCCATTCATGACATCATTAGGGGGAATGATGCCATAAGCCAGAGCACAGCATTTTGTGTTGAGTGGCTGTATACATCTAGGCAAGCTGGGATGAAGCAATCTGACATGTTTCCATTAGACCTAGTATAACCATTCCTTGCTGAAAACCAAACATTTGGGCTGCCCTCTATTTTGACCTTGAGCAAGAGCTCCAGTTCAGGCGTATGCGTGTGAGAGCACAGAAGGTGCGAAGCTGCAGCCTGTCCAAGCCTGAGTTTTTTCTTCAAAGTAGGAAGTGGGTTTCTTTATGGCTCTGGGCAGAAAAAATTGTGTTTCTGCCTCCATTCAGGCAGGGGTTGTTTACTATGCGTTGCACTAACAGAGAAATTAAGAACTGGGCAATGCAGCTCGAGGTGTAGCTGTGGTCAAATTAGACGCCAAATGCCCCTGCAACAAAGAGATGGCACCGTGGGGTTTTGCCAACACAGGGAAATTGCCATGCTAAGCAACTGAGCATGCCACCTTCTGCTTTTGGTTTTCCCAGCTACGATGACTTCATCCACAGTAGTGAGCAAGTTCTTCTGCTGGGAGCTACAGCCCTTATCCCACATGTTGTTTCTGAAACTCTGCACTGCCAAGGCTGGTACTTACGCAGGAACTGCCATTATACATGTCTCCTCAGGCAGAACGGGGTGAGTATGATGCAGTTCTTTCCTGATGAGGTCTAAGCCCTGTAACCTCTAAAGATGCAGAGTAGAGACTGAGAGACATTCCTCTCTCCTCTGCTCCCCAAGGGCCATTGCCTTAATTCAGCTTTGGCACACCAAAACCAGTATCAAAGCTCCCCACTGCAGATGGCGGTGACAGATGCAGAAGCAGAGATAATGTGTGGGGTTATAGGATGCCAGCTCCCAAAAGCTGGTTCCTCCTGGGACAGGCAAAGGAAGGAGAAACAGACAGACACCTCTGTCCTTGCAGGGTTGCCTACACCCTTGCTCAGTCCCTACACAAGCCTCACTTTGTGGAATTATGCCCCTGTGGTCTGGTCAAGCTGCACTGAGCTCCATTGCCTGTGCAGGCACAGACCCAGAGCCTCAGTGTGAGGTGCAGAGGGCATCAAGGGGAGTCTGTGTTAGGCACTGCACTTCTACATCCATGTACATACATCCAGCTGTGCTCCTCTGAAGGCAGCTCAATGGATGTCACATCAGCAGAACTGAGTCTAGCCCCTTGTCAATGTCTCTTCCTGACTTCAGTGGTGACAAGCAATTTCCATTCATCCACTATGGCTTAGGTCTCTTCTGAGCCCTGTCAGCCTACAATTAACCAAAACCTTTTAGCAAACTTTGACAAAATTCCCAGGTTGGCACCCCACAGATCAGGAACACCTTGTCCCTGCAGCTTCAAATGCACCCAGCTCAGAGTCCCTGTGTCTCAGACATGGATCCAGCCCTCTTCCTCCCAGAATCACATCAAACCCTATCGTTTTCTTCCTGCTCTCATCTCCCTACTGCCTCCATTTTCTCCAGCTTCAGTACCTCTACCCTATGTCTTTGCTGTTTTCACTCCCACACAGACTCTCCAGGACCTATTTCACCTGCAGGACCCAGTCTCCCTCCATCCATTCCAAGAGAGCCCAACACCTGCCCTCCCTCCCTCTTCTGCAGGAGGTTACTGGCAGGCTGTGAGCCGCCAATTCTCTGCAATGGTTGCAAGGTGATGGCTGATGGCAGGAAGCCATTACAGGCTCTACACGTTGGTAAGCAATAGGTGTGAGCTGCAGAGGCAGCATAAATAAACACAGCCCCAGGATTTTTGGAGCTCAAAGAGCAGTAATGATATATTGAAGCATCACACGTATAACCAGGCACAGCCCTGCCAGAAGCAGTACCAATATTTTGTTTTTCATGAAAGGCAAGCTGCTAGCCAATGTCTACCCTCCTCAACAACCAATCAAGATTCTGAAAGTGAAAAGCAAAATCATTTGCAGATTGGCAAGTGAATGCTACCAGGCAGGGTGGAAATTAAGCCATTTTGCCATGTCAATGGTGGCATCAGCTAGCAAAGGCTGCCCTATGGAGTGTTCTTCACCGTCTGGTGTAAGTGTATAGATGTGCACAGTGTAGCAATGCCCCTGTAATGCCTTTTACGCACAGCTTAAAAAGGAGGAGCCAAGGGACCTTCTGCTTTTTAACACGCACAGGCACAGCTCACTAGTCCCCAGTCAGGCACTGCCTGCAGCAGCTCTCCCAGTCCCAGCATGCTCTCTCCTGTGCTTTCTGAGACACGCAGGCTGCCTCCTCCTCCCCTGGGACCAGGCTCATACCAGACTTACACCAAGCTCCTCATCTTCGAGGTCAAAAAGGCAGACCGTCTGGAGCAAACAGCCCCTGGCCTCAACTGAAGGCACCCATGCTGACACAGCAGCCTAGGAAGTAAGGACAGAGGCGTGATCTTCAGACAGGTCAGATCCCTGCCTAGATGTCACTATCAGCCTCTACAGCTCTCAGGAGGACTAGCAGGACACAACAGGCAGGTCGCAGCAGCTGTCTGCGCGTGCGTATCTGCAGCCCCACTGCTGGAGCAGACCAGCGTGGGCGAGGAGCGTGCGCGCCCTGCCCTGGAGCATGCCAGTCTCCACTTGTGCAGCTCTCCTTCCTCCCCTAAGCACACTAAGCACTGGTGGAAGTCCTCCCGGCTGGTGAGTCAGGAACCGCCCGGCCAGCTCCAACCCTCTGCTCCCCTCCTCCTCCTCCTCCCCAGCACGCTCATGCTGACGGGCACAGACCAGGGCAGGAAACACTCCCCGTTTCATTCTGCTGTGCATTTCTCTGTCCCCAGCGCTCAGGGAAGAAAAAGCCCCTCCTGCGAAACGCAAAATTCCCACCTGTTCAGCCTCACAGGAAGGAGAGATATTTGCCTCAGCAGTTCAAGGCTGCAGCAGCTGTCAGCACACCATGAATACTCTTAAACATTAAGTCTTCGGATCAAAAAACCCACGCACTCAAACCACAGCATGTGTGACAAAACAAATCTGGGGAGCAACCACAGGCATCGTTATGTCACCCCTCACCAGGAGTGCTGCAAGAGACAGCTGGGGAGCAACCACCTAAGCTTAGCTGTGATGAGAACAACCTCTCTGACCAGGACTTCAGGCAGCAAGTGAATTATGCTGAGGCTTACTTACGGCCCTCTTAAGGTAATGCAAGGATTTCTTACACTACATTGTCAGCCAGGAATTTCCAGAACAGCTGTATTTAGGAAATGAGAACCAGTCACTGGTAAGATGGTTTGTACAGCAGGGAGAGACAAAGGCTTTTAAACTCAGGTCAGTAATAGAGATTCAAGTAAATGGCTATTTATTGTTGGCGTAAAAGCCTCCCTTAGATCATATTTACCCCAGTGTGCTCTGGCTAAAGAAGGGATTTCACGTGGCGACATGGAGCAGGAGGAAGAAGGGGAGAGTGCCCCTTTCACTATCACATGGTCTGGCCTGGCTTTGCTCAATCGCAGTCCTGAACCAGGCTGAACTAAGTAACTACTTCTTCCTCAGCCTGCCCTTGCTGCATGACTGAGTGTGCTTTCCTGCAGGAAAGTTGCTCCTGCCTCGTCTTCCTGACACCGACAGCCTCCCGCTCTCAGGACTGCCTCCTGTCTGCCACTGTTAGTGACACTGAGGGCCACTAATGGAAAGCTGCACACGTGCATGGGTAAGAGTGGGGAATAGGCATCGTCCTGGAAGCCTGGTCCAGCACATGAGGTGATCTGTTCTCTCCGAGTGAGACAGTTCAGAAGTCATGTGTCCTCACCATATGCATTTTGCAGATGGCCTGACACAGGAATACATAGAACAAAGTGCTTCATGCAACAACTGTACAGGAATCAAGGACACATCTTAATTTGCAAGGCAATTTTCACACCGCAAAACTGGTAAGTTAGTCTTTCCACCTGGAACTTTTCAACAGCAACCAACCACTTTGATTTCATGGCCTTTCAACCACTCCCTCCATTTTAATGTGATTATTATCAGGAACATTTAGGAGAAACTTTGGCATCAGGAAATGTTTGGTTACAACTTTATATGTCAGCATCCCTTGCCATTCCAGACTTTTCCAGTGGCTTAGAAACAGTATTTCCACCTAGGATATTTATTAAGCACCTGGTTTTGAAGCGGTGAAGTTCGGCTTAAATTCATACTCTGGGAAAATAATACTGTGGACAGTCAGGAATTTGGCAAGAGACCAAGCAGATAGACAACAGCACAATCTTCCAGGACTACAGTTTTCAGCAACATGACTCTGGACCCAGTTATAGAATCACAGAATGTTTTGGGTTGGAAGGGACCCCTAGAGGTCACCTAGTCCAACCCCCCTGCAGGAGCAGGGACACCGCTAACTAGATCAGGTTGCTCAGAGCCCCGTCCAACCTGGTCTTGAATGCTTCCAGGGATGGGGCCTCCGCTACCTCTCTGGGCAACCTGTTCCAGTGTTTCACCACCCTCAGTGTAAAGAATTTATTCCTTATATCCAGTCTAAACCTACCCTGGTTTAGTTTAAAACCATTACCCCTTGTCCTGTCACAGCTGGCCCTACTAAAAAGATTTTCCCCATCTTTCCTATAGGCCCCCTTTAGGTACTGAAAGGCTGCAATCAGGTCTCCCCGCAGCCTTCTCTTCTCCAGGCTGAACAAGCCCAACTCTCCTCAGCCTGTCCTCACAGCAGAGGTGCTCCAGCCCTCGGATGCAAGTTATGCTTGCACCTGCATTGAAAGGACCTTTTTAAATAACCCTCCAGTTTCACTGTTAAGGTTTCAGCAAAGCCAAAGCCGGACAAGACATCCTGGAAAGGTTTTTGTGCAGCTTCCTTCACCCATGCCGTCACTGTCTGCTTCTAGGAGCGTGGGGGTTTTTCCTGCTACGTAACGTTCTCGTGCGGTACCAATTTAATTGCAAGCAAGCAGCAGAGCTTCCCATTGCTCTTCTGCGGGACACTTTTTCACATGCTTAAGGATACACCGATTTTCCCTTGAGAAGGCACATTCAGTTTTTGTTTTCTATATACACCCAAATTCTTGCTATGTTTTTCCATTTCTCTATTCCAGCACTTTTGCATCACGGAATACCTACTCTTCCTTCCCAGCATTTAAATGTTTGCAGGTTGCAGTGCCTGATCTTGCCTGCCAGACAGCCTGCATTCGCAGCATGGTAATCCTCAAGCACATGAATAATTCTACATAAGGCTGATAATTATCAACCATGTCCTCAATGACTTGGTGAGCAAAGATCTGGGCTTCCATCTCCCATACTAGGACTTGGTACGGGGAAACGTCATGTGTTTACCTTGGAAATTACTGAACTTGGTTTTACTCTGTTCAGCGGGTGGGATGCGACCTGGCATCCCCCACAGACGCTGAATACTTTCCATGCCTCCCCGCGGCCGACGAAGCGGTCCCGGCGGCAATCTCACGTGTGCCCCCGAACACATTTTGCTCCTTCCCAGCCCGGCCCGAGGCTGCGGTGCTTCCCGTCGCGCTCTCCCCGGCCACACACCCCCTCCCGCCCCGTCCTGCCCTTCCTCCCCCGACGCCGCCCCGCTGTGCCCCGCATCCCACCGCGCAGAAAGGGGGCCGAGGGCCTACCCGGCCAAACAAGGCTCAAAAGGAAAAAGCCGCTCGTTCGGTCCCTAAGGCACGGCCCGGCCGAGGCTCCTCCGCGCCGTGCGAGTACAACCGAGCCCCCGTGCTCCAAGGGTGAGGGGGGGGATCC